ATTATCGACCATTTACTTTTTATTCTTGTGAATGGTTGTCGTAGGGGCCCCAGCACACTGGTGTGCCCAGGGGCCCATAATGTTGTTAAGATATTCCTGGGCCCCAGCACACTGGTGTGCCCAGGGGCCCATAATGTTGTTAAGATATCCCTGGGCCCCAGCACACTGGTGTGCCCAGGGGCCCATAGTGCTGTTAAGATAACCCTGGTCGTAGGGGCCCCAGCACACTGGTGTGCCCAGGGGCCCATAATGCTGTTAAGATAACCCTGCAGTATATTTCTGTGAATGATGCTATCTCTCCCACCCTTGCCAATAAACACTGGCGTTCCATAGCCTAGTATTCTTGGTCCGCTCCTCTTTCTCATTTACATCAATGATCTTCCTAATGCCACTCAACACTTGAAGCCAATTCTATTTGCTAATGACATAACTTTCATTTTCTTCAATGCTAACCCACTTATTCTAAATGACACATTGAATACTGAACTAAGAAAAAGTTCCTCATTGGCTGATTGCCAACAAACTTAACCTGAACGTTGACAAAACATTTTACACATTTATTTATTTATTTATTTACATATACATGTATACAAGAAGGCACATTGGGTTTATGAGAGTACAAAGCATTGATGTTTTACATGTTTAGAGATTTCAACAGGGGGGGGGGGCTGAGTGTTGTCTGAAAGTAGAGTTTGTCTGCTCTGATAGCAGATTTGTCTTGGGTGATGATGGGCTTCAGGTAGTTTGCAGAGGTTGAGCCCCATGCACAGATACCGTATGTAACATAAGGATAGATTAGTGCGTAATATAGTGAGAGGAGATCATAGTTTGGAAATGGAATATTGTTTGGTAACAAGTCCCCCGATCATATTAACCTAAGAATTAACACTTCCCAAATAATATACAGAATAGAAGGTAAATTCCTTGGTTATCACAATGACTACAAGCTGAACTTCCATTACCATGTACAAAAATAACAAGAAAGTCTATAAAACAGTAGGCCTTCTCTCAAAGATCAGATACAACATACCTCAGCCTGCCTCAATTCTATATTATTCTCCCATTTATTCATATCTCACCTAAGATATCTGTGCCTGGGGATCTACAACCCAAAATTCCTTCCGACCACTAACTACCCAACATAAATCACCAATTAGAACAATAACAAACTCCAATTCAAGACACCACTCTGCTCCCTTACTGAAGTCTTTGAATATTAAGTCGCTCTGGGTGGCAGGGTGGTCCAGTCACCCCGTGTACTGATAAGGGTGTGGACAGTCACCCCGTGTACTGATAAGGGTGTGGATAGTCACCCCGTGTACTGATAAGGGTGTGGACAGTCACCCCGTGTACTGATAAGGGTGTGGACAGTCACCCCGTGTACTGATAAGGGTGTGGACAGTCACCCCGTGTACTGATAAGGGTGTGGACAGTCAGCCCGTGTACTGATAAGGGTGTGGACGGTCACCCCGTGTACTGATAAGGGTGTGGACGGTCACCCCGTGTACTGATAAGGGCGTGGACGGTCACCCCGTGTACTGATAAGGGCGTGGACGGTCACCCCGTGCACTGATAAGGGCGTGGACGGTCAGCCCGTATACTGATAAGGGCGTGGACGGTCACTCCGTGTACTGATAAGGCCGTGGACGGTCACTCCGTGTACTGATAAGGCCGTGGACGGTCACTCCGTGTACCGATAAGGCCGTGGACGGTCACCTCGTGCACTGATAAGGGCGTGGACGGTCACTCCGTGTACTGATAAGGCCGTGGACGGTCACCCCGTGTACTGTTAAGGGTGTGGACAGTCACCCCGTGTACTGATAAGGGTGTGGACAGTCACTCCGTGTACTGATAAGGGAGTGGAGTCACCCCGTGTACTGATAAGGGAGTGGATAGTCACCGCGTGTACTGATAAGGGTGTGGACAGTCACCCCGTGTACTGATAAGGGAGTGGACAGTCACCCCGTGTACTGATAAGGGTGTGGACAGTCACCCCGTGTACTGATAAGGGTGTGGACAGTCACCCCGTGTACTGATAAGGGCGTGGACAGTCACCCCGTGTACTGATAAGGGTGTGGACAGTCACCCCGTGTACTGATAAGGCTGTGGACAGTCACCCCGTATACTGATAAGGGTGTGGACAGTCACCCCGTGTACTGATAAGGGTGTGGACAGTCACCCCGTGTACTGATAAGGGTGTGGACAGTCACCCAGTGTACTGATAAGGGTGTGGACAGTCACCCCGTGTACTGATAAGGGTGTGGACAGTCACCCCGTGTACTGATAAGGGAGTGGACAGTCACCCCGTGTACTGATAAGGGTGTGGACAGTCACCCCGTGTACTGATAAGGGTGTGGACAGTCACCCCGTGTACTGATAAGGGCGTGGACAGTCACCCCGTGTACTGATAAGGGTGTGGACAGTCACCCCGTGTACTGATAAGGCTGTGGACAGTCACCCCGTATACTGATAAGGGTGTGGACAGTCACCCCGTGTACTGATAAGGGTGTGGACAGTCACCCCGTGTACTGATAAGGGTGTGGACAGTCACCCAGTGTACTGATAAGGGTGTGGACAGTCACCCCGTGTACTGATAAGGGTGTGGACAGTCACCCCGTATACTGATAAGGGTGTGGACAGTCACCCCGTGTACTGATAAGGGTGTGGACAGTCACCCCGTGTACTGATAAGGGTGTGGACAGTCACCCCGTGTACTGATAAGGGTGTGGACGGCCCTCCACTCGGCCCTGCGGGGGTCCCGCCCTTGTCTCATTCCCTGCAACTAAGAGCCAGCCCTCGGAGTGTTCCAAGCTTCTCGCGCTGTAAGCTATTTCTGTCCTATATTATTATAATAATTGATGCCGTTAACTCTGTATTTTTGTGTAGCGGAGAGATGTAGCGGGCGGAGGCAGGCCATGATAGGGGGAGTGTTGGAAGCCGCGTGCAGGGGTCCGGACACGGCGTGTTGTCATAGGCTCCAGGTGTTAGCGTAGACTGACCAGAGTCCGCTAATATCCCCTCGATATATAGGTAAGTAGGGGTTGGTATGGGTGCCGTAGGGGGTGAGTGGGTGCCGTAGGGGCGGTTGGTGGGCGTGAGAGATGTTGGAGAGTGTTATAGGAGGTGAGAGGAGGGCCAGGAGATAAGAGAGAGAGGCGGGGCCGCACATCCGGCGAGGCTCTCAATGCTCCTCGCCTCACCGTATTTCTTTTTCTCTACATCTGTGGATTATATTCTGTGTTTTTACTGGATTTTGCGAGGTGGTGTCCAGCAAGGCTTCTCAGACAATTTTTGTATTCCCTGTGATTCTTATTAAATGATTTTAAAGAGTGGATATTTACCATTTCGTACAGCTTAGGGTTCACAGATTTTAATCCTAAGACTTTGATATATTTACCTAAGCTCCACCATCATTAATGTGTATCTTGATTAAGGCTCTAGCAAATTCCATATGTTTTGTTAAGGTAAGGTGACTGGTGCCTGGCCACCAGGATGTAGATTCACTAAGCATCGTGTATTTCTTCTTAAATCAGTGCGTCATGGAGGCTTTAAGACGTTGTGTAAGACGACCCTAAGCATCGTGTATATCTTCTTAAATCAGTGTGTCATGGAGGTTTTAAGACGTTGTGTAAGACGACCCTAAGCATCGTGTATATCTTCTTAAATCAGTGTGTCATGGAGGCTTTAAGATGTTGTGTAAGACGACCCCAACACACGAGTCGGGGAGGTGTTGGTACGAAGGTATTCGGGGATTTGGTTCTGGTTCACCTGCTTCTTGATAGTCACTGCTATAATTCATTTGACCAGTCAGATTGATGGGAAAATTTTTCATCTTGTCGTTTAGTCAATCATATTGCTCCAGTTTTGGTTCAGCTGGACAAAAGTCCAATCACATTAATTTTATATCACCTGATGTATGTCGACATAATCAGTTTACATGTTCACCAAGAGGTTTACCTCACTTCTCGATGCTCCTGGTCTACAGATAGATTATTTTACCTCAAAATTATGTTCAGGAATAAAGTATACCTATTGGCCAGTAAGGAATAAAGTACACCTATTGGCCAGTAAGGAATAAAGTACCAGTATATCTGTTGGCCAGTAAGCTCGTGTGGAGCCTACTGGTCAACAGGTATACTTTACATCTGTCTGTGCATTACATAAAACAGACAGGTGACAGTTTATAGTAATCTGCCTTATATAATAACAGTTAATTATGAAGCTTTTTATTTAAGAGACCTAAATTTAATAACAATGCTTGAAAAAGAGGAGACATGAAATGGCAAATAAAGAAAAATATTAAGGTAATAAAATTAAAAAGATAAGATTTCTATATATAGTACTGTAGTAAATATAACAATTACTTAATAATGTCAAGTACCCAGCTAAGAGTGTTCTTACCATATATATAAACCTTATTTCCAGATAAAACCGTAACAGCATAGGACATACCCTGTTATATTGATAATATAAATTTAATGATTACAGGCAAGTGTTGACCACATTAAAACCCGAGTTTACCTGAGAGTTTACCTGAGAGCCACTAACACTATTGGCTTCGATGAGGACAGGAAACCGGCGGCTTGTCGAAGGTCCCCCCATCTGACTTGATCTTTTTCAGCTGTACTTTAAAACCCACCAGAGTTTTGGCATTAACGGCTTCGGCGGGTAGACGGTTCCTTGGGTTAATAACCCTGTGATTGATAAAGCATCTCCTGTTCTGATTCCTACATTGTGGCTTGTTGAGCTTAAAACTGTTACTCCTTGTTTGTGTGACACATGAACTTTTGAAGAAATTTTCCGGATTAACATCCTCCAATATGTTCAGTATTTTAAAAGCATTTCAATAAGATCCACCCTGTCATGCCTGGTTTGTAGTGTTGTTAGCCTTATGGCTCTCAACCGTTCCTGATACGTAAGTTGACTTAGTTCTGGAGTGATTTTTGTTGTCCGGTGTACTTCAGTATACACATACTGGCATTAGTGGGGGTAGATAAGGATTTGATCCGCGGGGTTACCTTGCAATGGTCCCGAAGATGAACATTCCCGAGGCCCAGTCTCTGATCAGGCCTCTGGTTAATGGTCTGGGCAACCAGGATTTTGGATGTAGCTGGTTGCAGCCTGATATGTGAATCACAGCCTGGTTGATCATGTATCCTTTGGAGGTATTTTATCAAATTCTCTTTTGATATTAATTGTATTCCAGTCCCTGGGTGTCCCTGTGTCATTTGCTACTGAAGGTGGGGCCCCCTTCTGAATTAAAAGCACTATAGCATTCCTTTCATCATTGTTATGTGATGCTGTAGGCATGAGCTGCGTGGCGGTGATGTTACTGCTGCTAACATAAGTTACTGCTGCATGCATTGCTCATAGTTGCTGACTTAGTATTGAAGCCCCTCACACCCAGAAGTGGTGCCCACATATGTTTTCAAAGCTGGTATCTGTTTACCAGAGGCCTGAGGTAGCGGATATGAGCCCTGTGTATTTGCGGAGGTTTGAAATCTTACATGGTGCCTTAATACATCTCTGGATGTGACGTGCACGTCATTACGTAAGTGTTGTCACAGGATAAATATAAATATGTCTGTGCTCCTCATGTCTCATCATCCAGGTACGCTGTCATATGACCCCTTAAAGCTACTGATGGTTTTGGCCTCCACCATCTTCTCACTGTTCCAACCCTCTACCACTCTGCTTGCAAAAGAGAACTTTCAAATTTGTTTATGGCAGCTTTGTTTCCTTAGCTGGTCTTTTTGGTCCATGATCTTCATGATCTCTTGGTCTTGAAGATGTATGTTTCAAGAATTCTTCTTTGTTATTTATATTGATTTTTGTTAATATTTTGTTTAAAGTGCAATATTTGTATCGCCTCTTTTTCTTCTATCTTCTAGCTTTGGTACTTTAATATCTCTAGCCTCTCCTTATAGCTCTTGATTTTCAGTTCTGAAAGCCATTTAGTTGAATGTCTTCATTTTTTCAGTTTATTTATGCACTTCTTGAGATACAGGCTCCATATAACCGCTGTATACTCCAGTTTTGGTCTCAAACAGGTTGTGACAAAATTCTTCAAAATATTGCCATCCATGTAGTTAATAGTGATTCTGAAGTTTGAAAGAGTAGCCTAGGCTTCTTGCACAATGTATTCCTCAGATGACAGCTTTCTATCAAGGACTGCCCATATGTTTTTTTTCTTTATCAGAGTTCTTTGATAATGATAATGTTTGTTCAAAAGAATGTGTGTACTAAGAATACAAGAGTAATGTAGAATTATAGGGACAGGAGTGACACATACTAATGAAGTCACTGTTATACAAAGCATTTTGGGCTTTTGCCAGAAATGCCAAAAAGATGTGACTTGTGTGTGACTTTTTATTTCCTGTTCCACATTTCATAATGTTGTATTTATTCACATTAAATTAGATCAGCCAAATGTTGCTCCATACATTTGTTTTGTCCAGGTCATCTTGAAGGGCATGACAGTCATCTTTAGCGTCATATCTCTCTCATAGTAGCTTGTGATGATCAGCAAACATATCATGTCAATACAATCTTTAAAACATCTCTTTGAGTGTGCCGTGTAGCTTTAGGATAATTAGCGAGATCATCCCTTCAATGTATTGAGCACTTTAAGGGTTATAGGAGAGTGAATAGGCAAGAAAAGTGTTGATTCATAAACTAGACATCTGATTTGTACTTAGATATGTAACTTCTATAATCTTTCATGATTTATTTAATTTACAATTTTTCGGAAGTCTGTGTTGACGTAGATTTGATGATGAGTGATTAATATATAAATACCAGTACATATAATAATTGGAGGATGTTTTCATCAGTGTTGCAGTGTACCTGCTCCAAGTGACACATCATGACAGAAGTGTTTCAGTTCGGTCTTGTGCCTATCACCTGCCATGCCTGGAATACTGACCGAACCCGTAAGTACTCGCTCTATAACTTATAATATAACTTGTATCACATTTTATTATTATAAGTACATTACTGTACAGTATTTCTATTTTTTGATACAAATAACTTTTGTCATTTTTTAAATGTCTTGTCTTGTATGGCAAAATGCCCCTAAGGACATCCTATCATCAGGTTAAATCATGGGTTACTGGAGGCCTTGGGGAAGCAAATGTGAGCCCCATGTATGTATGGGAGTTTTTTTTATGATAGGCCTAAAACAACCCTTGTTGTGGTGTGCAGTTTAAGGGTTAATTTTGCATAATGTAACCTTTTGAATTTTAGTTTTGTGGCAAGTGTTATCAATTTAAAAATTGAATATCCCTGCAAAAAAAAAAAATAAGAAATAAAAAGTCATAAATTGATAACTGGCATCCCTTTCAATTCACTTTACTGTCTGTCATCTGCACGGAGACCTCATCTTCTGAAGGACATAGCTGCTTTGGAGAAAGTTCAACACCGGGCGACAAAAAGTGTCCCAGAACTAAGCCGACTTATACCAGAAATGGTAGAGGGCCACAGGATTAACTACACTACAAACTGGACATGACAGAGCTGATCCCATCTTTAAAGTAGCATTTACTGAATCTTTACTGAGTCTTTCCTGAATCTCAACTTATCCAATCCAATTTTGTATGTTTATAATACACTTATATGCATGTAATGACTTGACCAAGAACCAGGAAAACTTTTAAAATACAGAACAGTTCGGAGGATGTTGATCCAAGCAATTCCTTCAAAAAGTCAGATGTAACACATACAAGGAGCAATGGTTTCAGGCTCAAGTCAATGCGGGACAGAAAACAGGAGATGCTTTTTCACCCGTAGGGTTATAAACCCATGCAACTGCCTACCCACTGAAGCTGTAAATACCAGAACATTGCTGCCATTCAAAATCCAGCTGGATTAAATCCTCAGCACCAATTGGGGGACCTTTGACAAGCAACTGACTTCATGTCCTCATCAAGGCCTCTAGTGGACATCTTCAAGAGAAAACTAGATAGTTTTCTTCAGGAAGTGCCGGACCAACCGGGCTGCGGTGGATATGTGAGTCTGCGGGCTGCTCCAAGCAACAGCCTGGTGGACCAATCTCTCACAAGTCAAGCCTGGCCTCGGGCCGGGCTTGGGAAGTAAAACAACACTCAGAACCCCATCAAGCAGGTAGTGAGATGGTGGCTCTCAGGTAAATTCAGGTAAATAAATTTATTACATTCTTTCATGTTTGTGTACAAGTAATTTAAGTGTTTTGTGATATTAACCATGAAAACTCAATCACTTTTCCTGTACAACCCGAAGCTCTTCATTAATTACTAATGTCTTTGGTAACATGATTATAGGCTCATGTAAAAAAAGAAAGAGAAAAAAGTAAATAAAGCTGAAAAGTGCTTCTGATTATTATGATGTTATAACTGCTTCAAATAATGGCTTGGCTGGTGACAGTGACACCACCTGCCTCAGCAAAAGTTGAGAGCTGTCACGTCTGAAACACACATAAACCTGGTTCAGCGGTATACTGTACATACTTAAAACTACATATAATTGATTTCTACTGGAAATGATTTCTTATTCACATTTTATGCTATGGGACATACAGGCACCTAACAAACAAAAACACTTAAATATTCTAATATATATATTCAGGAGGCCTGGTCGAGGACCGGGCCGAGGGGACACTAAAAAAAAGCCCCAAAATCATCTGAAGAATCTCAAGATAGGACTCTTAACATCTGGGGGGTGATTGAAGCAGCAAGTGAGTTGTGGGCTGCGTGTTGAAGAGTGGCAGGCCACTAGTTTCACAGCCTTGCATTAAACCTATTCCAGGCACAGCTCTAAGAAAGTATCTAGCAACCCAATCCCTTTACTGTTATTCTATCCGGTAATGTTGTCCAGAAATAGATTCAAACACCAGCAGGAAATGCCAAATTATGGTTTAATGATTATCTCAGGCTATTATTAGATGGTAGCCACATCATATAGTAATCAATTCATAATGATAGAGTTTTTTCCTGGTTCTTGGTCAAGTCATTACATGCATATAGGTGAACTATAAACATACAAAATTGGATTGGATAAGTTTAGATTCAGGAAAGACTTGGGTAAATGCTAGTTCAAAACATGGTGGCTATCCTTGGGAACAAATTACCAAGTACAGTAACATCATAGACACGGGATCACTCGATTGTGTAGTGCAGTATTTAGATCATTTGTATAAAAACTTTGAAATAACTTAAATTGGTAAATGATGATAACTAACCTTTAACCCCTGCACTGCACACCTGTTTTTGGCAAAAACTTCATAGTACAATTGTTAAGGACATATTTTTGTTATTTTTATATATGTTCAGATGTCAAACAGATTATGATGTTAATGTCAAAATGTTTTCAAACTCGACTATTTTCATTTCAAAAAACAAACACTGATGAAAACATTAAAAAACATTAAAATATAGCCTAATTAAAAAAAAACGCACAACTCTCAAAACGACATTTGTTGTTTGGAGCAGTGCAGTGGTTAAGGGTTGAAAGATTTACTGTACAAGTTTACAATTGGATTAGGCTGGCTGTTGATACAACTGCGTCCCACAGCTGGGCTTGTCAGTGGTTTTTGGCCAACAATACTCATTTAAACCAATATTTGTTTGTTCTACAGAATAACATGCACCGAACATAAACTGTTCGGACCATCCAGGAATACTATAGAGCAAGGTTCAGAAGAGCAAGGACCCATTGTACATCTAATATATTTTACATATCTTACCGTAAATGATATTTTCATAATTTTATTTTATTTCTCTGTAAACAACAGCTTAAATTTGTTTTCTTCTAATTAGACTAGCTTTCTCTATACTTCAGAAGTTGCTCTAAGCCTCAACAATAACGAAGTGAACATATATGGTCGGTGTGGATCAGAGTGGAAGCTGCAAGAGACACTTCAAGGCCATGACCTGCGTGTCACTGGAATTGACTGGGCTCCTACTACCAACCGAATTGTGACCTGTGGAGCGGTAAGCCAGTTGTTGACTGCTTTTCTTGGCTTTAACTCCATCTTGACCAGTTAGAGTTGAACAAATGTATGAAACTAAAGCACACAAATATTTTTTTTAGGGGAGGGAAGGGGGAGGAGTGAGAGGTTTCCTTTTTATCCCTGAGCTACCCACCTGGAATCCTGTAAACTCTAGTACCTCACAAGCTCTAATGAGTGACAAGCAACTATGGAATACCTGCACCAGAATCTGGCCCCCTCAATAAAGGCATAGGGGAAGGGGGATACTTGATCCATGACATTACCAAAGTGGAAACCACCAGGAAGGTAGAATGTACCAAAAGAAGCAACTGCTAGGTGCAAGCAACAATGCCAAGGAAATACCCAGTACCCAGAAAACCTACGAAAGTAATAGTGCCAGCAGACTTGAAAGGGATAGCAAGACAGTCCCCAAAGTAAGTCCTGAGGGGTAACTACCGACATTCAATAAGTAACATATTAGGTAGGCCAGGTACCTGGGAATATGTGCAAAACTCACACCATTCTCTGACAGAGAGCTGCGAAACTGCGAGACATGAGGACCATACTGTAGCACACCAAGTGCGTGAATAACAGGGATAGCTGACCCTGCCTTTTGGGTTGCCAAAAGGGTGGGTTGTCATCAGGTTGACAACCTTATGGGTTGTCATTGGGTTGTCGTCGGGTGATAAGGGTGTGGAACTAGCTAGTTGCTGGACCTTAACAGTGAGAGTGTAAATAGTTTGAATCAGGGTGGCAAATGTTGTGCTAGCAGGTACAGGCATACCTCAGTTTAAGAGTTTAATTGGTTCCTGGAGACGCCTCGTATTCCGAAAACTCGCATTCCGAAGCTAATTTCCCCATAAGAAATAAAGGGAAATGAATTAATCCGTTCCTGACTACCCCAAAAACCCCACATCAAACTAAATTTTTATACCTAATTCATCTAAATAAACCTACAAAACTATGTTCAAGCTATTACTTACCTTGCTGTTGAATGCTGTAGGCGTATGGAAGATGGTGAGGAGGTGGGAGGAAGAGAGGAGTTACTGTTTGGAAGGGGAGTCCCCTTCCATTATCACATCAGGCAGTGAGGACTTCACTGGTATGCACACACTGGCACATTTTGCCTGCATACCACTAGGACTTGCTTGTTTTACTAAGAATTTGTTTAATGACACTTGTTTTTCCCTACATTTTAACACTTGTCTGTAGTAAGACATCACATTATCATTTAAAAGGTCAATGCAACGGCCTGCTACAGCTTTATCTGGGTGAGTTTTTTCAACAAAACTTTGCAGTTCTTCCCATACTTCACACATTTTCTTAATCAAGAAGGGACATCCTCTACTGCCTCTACTCACAGCTATTTTCTTAGGTTGAACCTTACCAATGGCTTTCTTGAGACCCATGGCAAGATATATAATGGCAACTTTTATGCTCAAATGGCCAAAAAACCGATAAAAAACTGTAAATCCTTGTGAAGAATTCAGGTGGGATAGTCACTGGACACGAGACACTGGTAAACTGAGGCGCGATCGCCATGCCACCACGCGCCAGTCGGCCTGTACATGTATGAACAAACTCGCGTTCCGAGGTAACCCTCGCCTTCCGAGACATATTTTCTGAGGAAATCCTGCTCGTCTTCCGAAAAACTCGCATACAGGGACACTCGCATTCCGAGGTACCACTGTACTTGTTTTGGTGTGGTCTACCTTTCTGATGGTAATGTGGTTGATCAAGCATCCTCTCTTCCTTATGCCTATATTGAGGGGGAGGGGAGGGGCCAGATCCTGGTAGTAGTGGTGGTGTCTGGTAGGCAGTAATGAGTCATTAGGGCCAGGTGTGGTACTAGGGTTTTGAGAACTGCAGATGGGTAGCTCAGGAACATACAGAGGGAACCCACCAGAAATAGGCACTTCATTATATTCAGTGCTTGGTTTGTACCAGTGACTGTTGGATATGTTAGTTCATAGTATTTCATTGCAATATATCTTAAAGATAGGTGTGATTATAAAACTTCTAGGACTATAATGCAGAAATTACAAGTTGTTATTTGTGTTTTTGTAGGACCGAAATGCTTATGTGTGGACATGTGGAACTGATGGCAAGTGGAGTCCTACCCTTGTACTTCTACGTATCAACCGAGCTGCCACATGTGTCAAGTGGTCCCCAAATGGTCAGTATTTATTATTGTTGTTAAAGAAAACATATATTTTACATTTTTGCTGTACAGCTTTGTATGAGAAAAATATGTATTGTGTATAGCCCAAGATTATAGCATTGACTGATAACACTGTACAGGATAATATACAAAAATATAACATTTTTCTGTGGGGAGCCCCTTCGGCTCCCTGGGCTAATTTGCGAATCATTAAACCGGGACATTAGTCAATGGAGTTCAGTATACCGGGGACCATGAGCCAGAACCTGGCCCCCTCAGAGAGGCGCAGGGAGCAGTGGCCCTGGAAACCCCCCTGTGGCTAGGGGTTTTCTACCAGAAAGGAAGAATGTACCAAAACAAGCAACTTCTAGGTGTAAGCAACAGTGCCAAGGCAATACCCAGTACCCAGAAAAGCTACTAAAGCAATAGTGCCAGTAGACTTGAATGGGATGTTATACCTACCGTTCCCAGAATGGTAGGCATAACAAAACAGACCCCACATGGTAAGAAAATTGCAACCAAAAACAGAACAGAGAGGCAGAACTCCCTCCAATCCCAGGGAAACAAGCAAATGTCACACTACATTGCTGCGTTGCTCGTCTGCACAGCCGCCGCCCCCCCCTCCCCTCCCATGCCAGCGACCCAGCCACTCTAGTTCATTAGCTAATGCGAACCGGGGCAGACGTCTTCTCTGGCCCCGCTTTCCAAGCAGTGTCGACCTTTGTGGTGTCCTCTGCGATGTTGTTGTGTGTGGTGGCCAGGTGTCCTCAAGAGTACCAGTGCTGTATGCGCTTAAGGGCATCCTTCCCTAAGTGCCCTGTGAGTGCTTAGGTAAGGATGCCTTCCCTAAAACCATAACCTTTGCATGTTAGGGTTTTCTTTCCTAATGCGTTCAAGAACCAATTCCGTAGGGGTTTTTGCTGCTTGGCACTTACCTCGCCCTTGGGGCCAGCTTGGGCTTCATGGCCCTTGTTTGGCCTTGGGTAGGGATTGGTATCATGCTGGTTGGGGCATCAAGGTGTTGTGCAACCTGTCTACCTACACAGCGGCCGGTTCCTGTATCCTTTGGGGACGTACTTTTGCAGGGTTTTCTTTAGTTTTTGTTTTCCTTGCCTGGGGGGTCTGCCTGGTGTGGCTATAGTTCCACTTATAATATATTGGTGGCCCTTTGCTAGGCCCCTGTGATTGTACATGTTACAGGGGTTTCAGAAATTTGATCTCCCCATGCCCCCTTTGTCAGCTTTGGGTCTTAACCGGTTAGGAACACCTGGCCCGGGCTTCTCGTAGCAGTCAGCCTAAGGGCCCTGGAAAACACTATCAGGGCCCGAGTTCCAGCCTGCCTCGTGAAGGTTTGAAGGTTGCTGTCTGCCCTTGTCTCAGGGTGACAGTCACCACTTTTGCCTCCGTTATGCTGCCCGTTGGGTCAACGACACCTTTGACCTGGAGTCTTAAAAGTTGTGTTCTCTGCTTGTTCTTAAGTACTATTCTGATGACATTACTATTATGGTACAGGCATCATCTGCATTGCATGCTAGGTTTAGGTTGCTGCAAAGCGCAAGGTTGGTTTCCCACCCAGATGCCCCGCGGCTGCCCTGCTTTGGTTATAGGGAGCCGAATCTGGGGACGTTAGTCGCTTTGACTCTGGTTCAGTCCATGCTCCCTGGTCCTTCCCTGTTGTTCATCCTGCACCTCCCCCCCTACTTCCAACTCTCAAATGTCTAAGGGTTTCAGGGTCGGGGCAGGGTTTAGTTGGTAATGAGACTTGAGCAGCTTCGGGGGCTGCCCCGTTCATGTTGGGGATGGAGGCATTTGAGCTGGTTCCTCCTTCCAAGGTTTCTGGGTCCCACCAGCAGGCCCCCCCTTTTTTTCAGCCTTTTCCCTGGACACTGCCTTTTCTGCAGGGGTAGAAGGTATGGAGGACGGCTCTGCCCCGGGTCCCAATTTGGGGGATCCTGGGGCTGGGGAGGAGTTGACCTGGGGGGCTTTGGGCCACCTTTGACCCCGCTTGGGTGTTGGTGCCATCATTGTGGGGCTTGCTGTTGCAGGGGGGGAAGGGCTTTCTTAACCCCCCCTCCCTTCCCTGTACGAGTATGATTAGGGGTCGACTCTTTTCCAGGTTTGGTTCTGGGCTTCCTTGGGTTCCTCTTCTCTGTCTTTCCAGAGGTTTTCTGCCTCTCAAATATCACCTAAGGAGGTTCGGGAGGTTCTTGCTGCGTACCTCCTGCGAGACCCAGCTTCTGTCTCCGTGATGGAGACATCCTCATTTGAGTTCGGTTCTTCTTCCCTGCATTGGGTGTGTTTGGAGGTTCTGGAGTCTTCCTGGCTGGCAGACTGCCCATTCTTTTTGTTTGGGGCGTGGCATGGGTTCCGTCGGACTCGCACGCTTGAGTGGCGAGAAATTTCTACCGTTCTGCAGGTTTACCTGGGGGGAGGGGGGGCAAGTTTAAGCGTCTTAACCATTGTGCTGTGCCAACCGAGAAAACTCAGTCGGTGGGAAACTGCACCAACCGAGAAAACACCTTTTTAATATTTCTACCCATTCAAAATACGCACGGTAGGTTGTGTATGAAGTGGACTCTTGGGACCTCCAGTAAGAGGAAGCCATCTTGGAAAATATTCCTAGGACTGCTGGCTGGCTCAGTTCCAAGTGAACAACCATGGGTGGCGCACGCACCTCTGGCTCTAAAAACCTGTCTGACGCGGTGTTGAAAAATCGCTCTCTGTCGGTGAAATTCACACCTTATTGTTTGAAGAACATAAGGGTCATGATATTGATGAAGCTAGGCACAATAAGGACCTATCACAAGGGTTAGATGCTAGTGATACAGCACCGATGAGGACGATATAGCAAGCTTGAACAAATCCACAAAGGCTGTGACGAGGATTCGAACCTGCGTCCGAGAGCATCCCAGACGCTGCCTTAATCGACGGAGCTACGACATGGAAAAGGAGTTGAAACCTCGGAGGCTGCAGGATCCAGTAATTTCAGTAGAACTTCGGTTTCAACTCCTTTTCCATGTCGTAGCTCAGTCGATTAAGGCAGGGTCTGGGATGCTCTGGATTTCAGCTTGCTTCGGGGTGGATGTTGCTTCTGTCCTGTTCCGTAAGCTTTCTCGTGCTTTATATCACCTTCGGCCTGCTCATGCGTCGCCTGAGCCATCCTGGTCCTTGGACAGGATGCTCTCCTATCTTTCTTCTCTTTGATTCGAGGTGGCCTTTTCAGCTCAAGATTGTTTTTCCAAGGCTCTGTTTCTGTTGGCTTTAGCCTCTGGGTGTTGGGTCGGTGAGTTTCGTGCTCTTCTCCGGCGCAGGGGTTTCTGCTCCTTCAGTCCTGGTAGTCAGTTTGTTCGGTTGCAGCCTTCGCCTTTTTTTCTGGCGAAGAATGAGATGGCTGCTTTCTGGAGGGGTCCTTGGGTTCTTGATGCTTGGTCAGGTCAGGGGGTTGGGGGTGCATCATGTCTTGTGTCCGGTTGCGGCTCTTCGCCATTACTTGTGCGCTTCGGCTTCTGTGGATGGGGATGCGCTTTGGGTTGATCTGGTTTCCCTCCTTCCCTGTTCCAGGGCTCGGGTCTCCCAGGTTGTCCACAGAGTTATTAAGTCTAACCAGCTTGCGGTCTATCCTCGTGCCCATGATGTTAGGAAGTTTGGTGCGTTGGCTGCTGTTTTTGGCAACATGTCTTGGGCTGATATTCGGGCATAAGGACTTTGGAGGTCGAACAGGGTCCTGGCTGCCCGATATTTGGTTAACATTCCTGGGCTTGGGCGTTCTTGTGTTGTTTTGGGCCACAGGTTGCAGCCAGTTATCTCGACTTCGCGTCGAGGAGTGTTTTGCGGCCACCTCCCGGGTAAGTCCCTCTTTTCCCTATCTTTGGTTATGTAGCTCCAGGAAGCCAAAGGGGGCTTCCCACAGAAAACCACCATTGAGTGTAATAAAATGCCATTTTCTGGGTGAGCCCCGGAGCCCCCCTGGCAACCCTCCCTCCCTCCAGTCGGTGGTTTTCACGTGGTTGATACTTGGCCTCCAAACTGGAGTGGCTGGGTTGCCAGCAAGGGAGGGTCTGGGACTCCCTCTCCCCCTCAAAAGGGGGGGGGGGGCTGCAAGGACGAGCGACATGGCGATAGTGTGACATTTGTTTGTTTCCTTGGGATTGGAGGGAGTTCTGCCTCTCTGTTCGGTTTTTGGTTGCAATTTTCTTACCGTGTGGGGTCTGTTTTGTTATGCCTACTGTTCTGGGTGCCTAACCCTGGTCGATGGCAGATAAGGGAAACCCCCAACTAGGGGGGTTTCCAGGGCCATTGCTCCCTGTGCCTCTCTGAGTGGGGCCAGGTTCTGGCTCCATGTTCCTGGTAGGCAGAACTCCATTGACTAAAGCCCTAGTCTAATGTATCGCATATTAGCCCCATTGCTTCAGGAAGCCTCCAGAGCTCACCCAGAAAGTGGCATTTCATTACAGTACATTCAACGCTGTTTTTTAAGTGCAATGATGCAATGGGCTCTTAATGTTACAGTACTTGCATCACAAAACATGTTAAACACTGTTACATAATGATAAATTCATGTCACTAATGTGCACACGATATTATATCCTTAGAACAGTAAAACATATTGTTTTTGCTTTTATTACACTGTATGTTACATACATTGTATGTTACTACAGTATCTACATATGCACCATAACAGAACAACAAGCAATTTTGGTGGGTGTGGTAATCTGATAATCAAAGCATAACATGGCACCACATGCTTTTCAGTTGCTGATGCCACCTGACAGCAAAATACCTTCCAATATACTTTGCACATTGCTAACTCTAGCCCCGTCACTGCTATTATCGAAATCCTGGTCCTAAGCCCTGAGTATTCTATGTGCGCTATGGATGTTTGTCTTGTGCTCTGAACATCATAACCAGCAATGGGTTAACTGATAACTGATTATTGTACATAATTCTTATTCCAGTCCAGATCTATGAGATTATCGCCTTGGGCTATGAGTACAAGGTGTATGTCAATGGAGTCAGCTGCTGCAGTATGCACTATTCAGGATGCCCTCTTAGTATGGCACTGAGGCTCTCACATCCAGGAGGGGTTATCTTGAGATGATTTCGGAGCTTAACGTTCCCGCGGCCCGGTCCTCGACCAGGCCTTCTTTTTTTTACACATCCTCAGGAAGCAGCCCGTAGCAGCTATCTAACTCCCAGGTACCATAATTTACAGCTAGGGGAACAGGAGCATCAGGATGAAAGAAACCCTGCCCATTTGTTTCCGCCTCCACCGGGGATCGAACCCAGAACCTTAGAAATGTGAATTCTGAGCGCTGGCTACTCAACCGCCAGGCCCCTAGTGGTCTTCACATTTTATTTTTATAAGATGGAATCTGTTTACTGGAGACCTGATGATGCAGATGTGAGCTCCGTGTACCTGTGGGATTTTAAATCTTATTCTGTACTTTAAAAATGCCCCAGCTGTGATGTGCAGGTTACGGAGAGTTACCGAGATCAACCCCAGTCATGTCACTCGGTGGAAGGGTTTAAGGGCAAAAATTAAAATGCATGCTCCAGAGTAGCTAATGGGTAGTAGTGCAATCTTGGTGGTATGGGTCACAGCAGCCCAGAGAATTGATTAATGGTGCTGTATCTGAAAAAAGTTACAAATTTTGCCAGTTTCAGTTTGTCGTTATTGTTACTGGGGAAAGTTGGTGGGTTAAACATTTGTGCAAATAAAGAAGTAATAGGTTGCTAGATGTGAATAGAAATGTGCAGAACTTATATATTTGTCTGTTTTTTCCTTGCCATGTTTTGAGCGAGTTAAAAGATTTAACATTCCGCAGAAAACAAATTTGCTGTAGGATCAGGAGCACGGCTGATATCGGTGTGTTACTTTGAGCAGGAAAATAACTGGTGGGTATCTAAACACATCAAGAAGCCCATCCGGTCCACCATCACTACTTTGGACTGGCATCCCAATAACATTCTTCTAGCTGCAGGAGCTGCTGATTTTAAGGTAGAAATTTTGTATGTACTGTACTGTACAGTATATTACATTAAAAGTTTTGTACAATATTCTTTTTAATTTTTTTTTCTGGGAGGTACCCCTTCGTATCTTTGCAAGCTACCTACCTAACATACCATATTTGTTAGTGTATAAGATGCATGTTTTTTATTTTTAAATGTATAAAAAAAATTGCCCTGCATCTAATGTGGCCATAGTACGGATGTGAGACCGAGCGCCATAGGCTAGGGAGCCCGATGAGCGTACTGGCTAAGTTCTCTAGGCACATAAATCGTTGCTAATAATAAAATATTGAAAACTAGCTGAGTTATCACGGTCTGTTATCACAAACTTTGATAAATTGCTTACGATACGTTGACAGTTATGAAGGAAGCTCACATCTCGCCACCTTACCCAGCATACATAACCCACGCCTAATATGTCATACATTATTTAACGACTGTGTTACCTCTAAGAAACATTTATTTATTATATAAATGAAAATGAAGACATTTGAAAGGAATGTTAAACTTTCATCCCCCTGTCAGCTATATGCAATGAGTAGATGACAACAGAACCAGAGTGCTATGGTGGTGCGCCACCGCCGGGTGTGCAGCCCTGGTGGCCTGATGTGGCAACACAAAACATCACATCCAGAAATACAAGTTTCACATCCTGTATAGCAATTCTCTTGCCCAAAATATAAACAACTATACAGTGGATCTTAAAGGTGGTAAGAGTTGAGGGTACAAAAAAACACATTAAAAATATATTTCAATAAATGTATGATGAAACAAACTAAAGTAGTTTTTCTGTGGGGAGCCCCTTCAGCTCCCTGGAGCTATATAGGACTGATATACGCTATATTAATCTGGGGCTTCAGTCAGTGGAGTTCTGCCTACCGGGGACCATGAGAGAAAGCCTGGCCCCCTTAGAGAGGCGCAGGGAGCAATGGCCTAGGGAAACCCCCCTTGTATTTGGGGTATTCGTTGTCCGCCATCGACTGGGGCTTTTTCCTACCACACATGGTAGGAAATTGCCAAAAAAACAAGACCGATCAGAGAAACAGAACTCCCAAAAGAAAACTAGGAAAACAAGCAAACATTAACCACTGCCGCCGCATTGCTTGTCCACTCAGGGGAGGGGGAGGGGGGAGCCCCAGGCCCCTACACAGGCTGCCCAGCTCCTCGGTTCGCAGGCTGAAGCGCTCTGGGGTGCTTGTCAACTCTGGCCTCAGTTTCCTGCAGGATTTTGTGCCCTTGTGGTATTTCCCGCTGTTTGTGGCATGTTGGCCAGGAATAACGTAGTGTACTGGAACTGCATGTACTTAGGACTGCTTTCCCTAAGCATCCTCTAAATACAACCCTTGGGTTATAGGGTTGCCCTTCCTAGAGCTTTCATGCCTTCACTTCAGTAAGGGGTTCCTGCTACTCGGCATTTACCCCTCCCTTGGTGCCAGCTGGGGTTTCGGAGCTTTCGTGCAGAGATGGAAGCCTTTGAGCCTGCTCCTCCCACCGAGGCTTCTGGGCCTTACCAGCAGGCCCCCTTCTTGTTGCCTTTCCCTTGGACTCTGCCTTTCTTGTAGGGTAATGGGCGTGGAAGGTGGCTCTGCCCCCGGGGCCTCTGTTGGGGGTTCCCGGGGTTGTGGGGGGAGGGGAGCCCATTAGCAGTTCTAGGGCTGTTTGTCCCTGCTTTGGCCTTGTGCCTTCTGGGTGGGTTTTATTTTTGTCCCTCCGTCCCATCTGCTTTGGTTTTTCCCCATTTATTGGCGTGATTTGGGCTCCCTTATGTCGGACGCTTCTATTTTTGTTTTGGTGGCCATTTTGCTTTACCATGGGCTCTTCCCTGCCTTGCTACCAGGGTGGTGCTGCGGCTTGTTTGTTTACATGTGACTGCTGGGCATGTGAGTTCATGTTTTGGGGCATTTTTTTTTGCCTCCGTCTGGAGTTTTTTTTATCCTCCCATTGCTGTCTCTGTTTTGTTCTTTCTTTCAGGGCTTCCTGCCCTGTATGTTCCATGGGACCAGTTGGTTATTGGTCTTTTCGTGCAATCATGTATTTTCTGTCTGTGTTTGTCTTCAGGGGCCCTGATTTTGGGCCCAGAGTCTGTGCCCTGTATGTTCTGCTGGCTCCCACACCTTCGGCCATAGGTTTTCAGTTTGCTTTTTTGCCGTTTTCCCGAGGGGTTCTGTCAGGGTCATGTGTCAGGCCCTTCCTTTCCGTGGTGCATTTTCCGCCAGCAAATCTGGTGGTTTGGGCTTTCCCTCGGGTTCATTTCTGGGTTCCTTTGGCTTCTTCGGTTTCATTCCAAAGGTTTTCTTCTTCTCAGGGTTTTCTTTGTGGAGGTTAGGGTGAACTGGAGGAAGTCCCATTTGGTTTCCGTCCCAGGTTCGGACCTGGCTGGGCCTTGTGTGGGACTCTCGGACCGCTTCTGTCTCCCTCCTGCAGCATTGCTGCAGCTGCAGTCCCACCTCCTGCTGTTCCTGGGGGGAGGGGGGGTCCAGGGTCACTTGGCATTTGCTCGAGCAGCTGTATTGAAGTCTGAATTTCTCTGTGCTAGTTTACCCACCGGTTTGAGTTTGGCTTCAGTGCCTGTCTGGTTCCTTCGAGGGCATCCCTTCCGCCTCTCTCACAGCTGCCTGGTTCTATCCCCGTGGGCTTCCTTTCTGTTTTTTTTTTTTGTGGTTCAGTGGCTTGGCGCCTTCCCGAGCCCTCGCTCGTTGTGTTAACGGATACCTCAGCTCTCGGCTAGGGTTTTGTGACCAGTACTCACTAGGCCAGCCTGGGGCGGTGGGCTCTGTCCTTCTGTCAGGCTCTCAGCATGGTGCAAGAGTTTATGGTGGTCTGGCTTTCGCTGCGTTGGGTCTGGGTCGCTCAGAGCTCTACAATCAGGCTCCCTTCGGACTGTGCTCCGGTGGTTCATTGTCTGAACTGCGGGCGTACTCTTTTGTACTTGACTCTTTGGGGTTAGACGCTTCGAGTGACTCATCTGCTGGTTCTCGGGGTTTAGCTATCCCTGCAGTTCACATCTGGGGTGTGTCCGATGTCCTTACGGACGACCTGTCCCGGTTCCTCCCCCTGCCCACGGCATGGACAATCAACGTCGACTCCTTCAGTTGCTCTGCCGGTCGCACAGGCTCCCTGGAGGTGGACCTCTTCGTGCCGGCGTGGTTCCGGCATCTCCTGAGATATGTGGCGCCCTTACCCGGCCGCTGAGTCATTGGGGTGAACAATTTTTGGTAGGGCTGGTTGCATTGGGATTTACCTGTACCTCTTCCCCCCGGTCCAGCTGTTGCTTCGGGTTCTGACTTGGTTGGAGTCTTCCTGCAGGAGTGTCCTCCTTGTGGCCCCGTGGTGGCCAGTCCGGTATAAGGCTCTTTCCATCTACTCCTCTGCTCTTCATGTCTGGTATTTTTGACGCAGGTGTATCACCACTTGTGTGGTGGTCAGGAGACTTCATTGAAGGTGTCCCACCTGCAGTCGTCGTCTCGGCGACTGTATGTAGTTTCTTGGCGTTCTTTTTGCCATTTCCTTTCTCTTTGTCCGTTGTCTTCTCTTTCTGTGCGGGTTGTCTTGTCCTTTCTTTCTTGGCTCTTTCAGGACCGGCATTTTCTGCCGAATTCTGTTGCCTCTTATCGTGCGGCACTGGCGGAGCCACTCTAGCTTGCGTTCAGGGTGGCTGTCCCTTTCTTCCCGTTCCGTATGTTTTCTCATGTTTTGTTTCACTTCTGGCCTGCTCATGTGCCACCTGAGCTGCCTTGGTCCTTGGACCGGGGCTCTTCTTTCTCTCTTCTCCTCAGTTTGGGGTGACCCTTTCGGTTCAAGAATGTTTACAGAAGGCTCTGTTTCTGTTGGCATTGGCCTCTGGGGGTCGGGTCGGTGAGCTTCATGCTCTCCTCCCACACAGATGTTTTGCTCTTGCAATCCTGGTGGCCGTTTTGTTCGGATGCGGCCGTCTCCTCCTTTTCTGCCACAGAACGAGACGATGGGCTTCCGGAGGAGCCCTTGGTTTCTTGATGCTTGGTTAGTCAGGCTGGAAGTGCATCATGTGTTGTGCCCGATTGCGGCTCTGCACCGTTACCTGCTCGCCTCGGTTTCTGTGGCTATGGACACGCTTTAAGTTGACCTGTTTTTCCTCTTTCCCTGTACCAGGGCTCGGGTGTCTCAGGTCATCCGCAGGATTATTAAATATCGCCAGCTTGCAGTCTACCCTCATGTCCATGATGTTCTTAGGTATGCTGCTTTGGCTGCCGCATTTGGGAACATGTCTTTGGCTGAGATTCGGGCATGGGGGTTTTTGAGGCTGAACAGGGTCCTTGGCGCTCGGTATTTGGTGAATGTTCCTGGTCCCAGCAGCTCTTGTGTGGCTTTGAGTCACAGGTTGCAGCCAGTTGTCTCATCTTTGAGTTGATGTAGTTTATCTTCTGAGCAGGGTTTGACCTTGGGCTCTCTAGTAGTTTTTCTGGTTTCATCCCTTTTCTCACTGCTGGGACTCAGTTGCATGCTTCATGGGCCCTTCAACGGCTTCTGGTTTACCAGTTTCATCTCAGGGCTTTTCGTGTATTGTTCTTGTGATCTCTCTCTAGCACTTAATCTATTTCTGTATGGCTTGGCCCTGGTTTAGGCTTTGTGAGCAGCATTTGCTTGTCAAGCCTCTCTATGTGACTTTTTTGTTACCTTGGACGCACACTATTTTTCACGAGTTTGTCATTTTGGCATGCCTTGTAGTGCTTTTGCCTTCCTCCAGGCTCTGTAGTCTGGCTCCACCTCATCTGCTTTGCAGTGATTCATTATGGTCCTGGTTTTCAATAGACCAGACATCCGATTTGGATGGGAAGCAATGTGGCGCCAAAGCTTTAAACCCCAGGGAGCTACTGAGTGCTGCCAAGGAAGTTATGTGTATAGAGAATGGTTTGGTGAGGATGTGTATAGAGGATGGTTTGGTGAGGATGTGTATAGAGGATGGTTTGGTGAGGGTGTGTATAGAGAATGGTTTGGTGAGGGGTGTCTATAGAGAATGGTTTGGTGAGGGGTGTCTATAGAGAATGGTTTGGTGAGGATGTCTATAGAGAATGGTTTGGTGAGGGTGTGTATAGTGAATGGTTTGGTGAGGGGTGTCTATAGAGAATGGTTTGGTGAGGGGTGTCTATAGAGAATGGTTTGGTGAGGATGTCTATAGAGAATGGTTTGGTGAGGGTGTGTATAGTGAATGGTTTGGTGAGGGGTGTCTATAGAGAATGGTTTGGTGAGGGGTGTCTATAGAGAATGGTTTGGTGAGGATGTCTATAGAGAATGGTTTGGTGAGGGTGTGTATAGTGAATGGTTTGGTGAGGATGTGTATAGAGGATGGTTTGGTGAGGGTGTGTATTGAGAATGGTTTGGTGAGGGTGTCTACAGAGAATGGTTTGGTGAGGGTGTCTATAGAGAATGGTTTGGTGAGGGTGTGTATAGAGAATGGTTTGGTGAGGGTGTGTATAGAGAATGGTTTGGTGAGGGTGTACACAAAGAATGGTTTGGTGAGGGTGTACACAAAGAATGGTTTTATGGAAGTGTCAGAGAAAGTGGACCAGTCTATGCTAGTAGCCTTGATGAACTGCCTCAGTCTGCTATTGGGGTACTTATGAATAGAGCGAGGCATTAGATATATAGAGAGATATATATCTATGTATATTCTATTCTAGACTATATATTCTATATATTCTAGACATTTTAATGTGTTTATTCTCCGACAGGTGCGTATATTTTCGGCATGGATTAAAGATATTGAGCCAAAACCAACACCAACGCCCTGGGGAGCAAAGATGCCTCTAGGCCAATTAATGACGGAGTTTTCTAATTCTACTGGAGGAGGTAAGTAGGATTTTATCTCTAGGATTTAACCTATCTCTAATTGAAAATCTCTAGGATTTTCACAAGTAAATTTAACACTTATTGTAGAATTTTTTTTCTATAATATCTATATAGATATTTCTATAACTTTAAAATATTTAGAAAAGTCAGATTTCTTGGGGGAGTCCCCTAGTGGCTCCCTGAAGTTATCTTGGTGGCTCCAAGGCTCCAAGAAGGCTCCATACTCAGTCACAACAGTCATGGAGGTTGTATTTGGACTACTGGGGCCTAGAGCTAGTACCTGGGCCCCCCCCCCCCCTCACAGAGGCACAGGAAGTGGGTGGCAGTTCACCACCCAACCGGAAAAAGCCTCCAAAAAGTTGGCAGAGCTTTACAGGTAACTGTAGGGTTCACAGGAAATGAAGCCTTGAAAGTGTCAAATAACTCTGTAAATGATTTACACAGAATAAGGGAGTCGCTGAAACTAGCTCAAAACTCATTAGTACTGATTACCTCCACCAGGCAGCCTATCTCTAGCCTGCAACTGGCTCTCCTAACCAGCCAGTTGTGTTGCTGGATGTTAAAGTGGAAGGTTGCACCTGTAGTACACTGGTCTGCCAGTGGTGTTGTTGTTGTTAAAGATTTGCTACCTGGAACAAAGTTCCAAGTAGCACGGGCTATGGCGAGCCCGTAGTGCCTTTGCCAGTGGTGGGCAAGCCCTAATGCTTTAAGCTAAGTGCTCCTCATCCTTGGACTTTGTTCCTCCTGCAGGGGCCATTTTCTTGTTCTTGTTGTCTTCCTTTATTTTAGTGTAAGCTTGCCATATGTGTTTTCTCTCTGGTTTGTTGTGTTTGCTTGCCTTTGGTTGTGATTTGGGCTGAATGAGCTCAGGGCTTATTTCCCTGGGTGTCCAATAGCACTGTTGTTGCAGAGTCAGATTTATCTTCTCCGGTGTTTTCAGAACTTTGCCCCTGAGAGACCTGGTCATCGGAGGGGAGAGCTTCACCTTGGGTTTATCTCGAATCCTTGATTCCTCTATTTGGACCTTTGGCTGGGGGCCAAAACATCAGTAAATATCATTAAAATGGAATTGGAGCCATATTAAGTGTCACAATTCATACCCTAATATGTCCTGTTGGTTAACTTCACTAATTTTCACCTATCAAATAATGGACAACTTTCCCACAGGATCTCTGGGCCTGATTTCTAAGCAAATCAGCACATCCTCCACCTCGCCCAACAAGTGTTCGGCCAAGTGGGTGAATGGATCCATTCTATAAAGCTCACAAGGAGCTTTACAAGGGGGCTGCTGTAGATTGTTGTGTACTCACCTAGCTGTACTCACTCAGTTTTGCTTGCAAGGGTTGAGCTTTGGCTCTTTGGTCCCGCCTCTCAACTGTCAATCAACTGGTGTACAAATTCTTGAGCTTACTGGGCCCTATCAAATCTACATTTGAAACTGTGTATGGAGTCAGCCTCCACCACATCACTGCTTAATGCAGTCCATTTGTTAACTACTCTGACACTGAACAAATTATTTCTAATGTTTCTTTGGCTCATTTGGGTACTAAGTTTCCACCTGTGTCCTTTTGTTCGTGTTCCACCCGTGCTAAAGAGTGTCTTTGTTCACCCTGTCAATTCCCCTGAGAATTTTGTAGGTGGTTATCACGTCTCCCCTTTCTCTTCTGTTTTCCTGGGACGTGAGGTTCAGCTCTCTTAGCCTTTCCTCGTAGATCATACCTCTCACTTCCGGGAATAGTCTGGTAGCATACCTTTGAATACCAGGGATGGGGGGGAGGTTATTCTGGCTCTTTGTGGTGCCATGTAATGTATAGTGAATGGACTGAAGTCATTCTGTAATATCTTTATCCTTTTCCTATACATCTTCCTTAAATTTGGAAGTTAACTGCCAAAGTTAAGAAAGTTGTTAAATTCTGTACAGGAAGTACAGGAACTCCATAGAAGTTGGAAACATGGCTATATAATAATGATGAATGCCCGAGTTATGTCGTGTTTGAATAGTGTTGTACGTTATTGATATTATATGCTGTACTATATCTTACCAGTCTTGCAGGCCTTTTATGCTAGTTTTAATAATAATAAAGCTTATATTTGTATATATTACAATATTTGTAACATGAGATATGCTATTATATGAGACCATGAAATCATTCTTCAATCACAGTCATATGATCTGGTGCATTTCTGAGGGAGCCCCTTGTGGCTCCCTGGAGTTATCTTGCTGAGATGGCCCCAACTAGAATGCATCAGCTGTGGAGATGAGTTTGTCTTACCTGCAACCAGAGCTAAAACCTGGCCCTCTCACAGAGACTCAGGAAGCAGGTAACATTCCACCACCTCACTAGGGAAGGCACCCAGAAAGTCAGCAAACCAATACAGACCACTGCTGGGTTTGGAGGTACCAAAGTCTTACAACCTGCCAGACAAACTCCCCTATTGAGCCTGGCCTCGGGCCGGGTTCGGGGAGTAGAAGAACTCCCAGAACCCTCCGTAGGTAACAATGTAAACAAATAATATAAAGTTTTGTTAAATCTGTGTGCGCTCGCTTGCCCCACACCTGCTATTCATATGGGGAAGAAGGGGAATGACCATGACTCATGCTGTCCATTGGCCCAAGCCCTCAGTACCCAAGTGGATGTGATGCATTCCAGACATCTACACTAGGACTCCAGGATGCTTCTCTGGACTTGGTCCTCTGTACTTCGTTTTGTAAACTGTGTGTAGCATGAGCCTAACTTTTGGTGTGCTTAGAACTGCATGAACTCAGGTGTTCCCTTCCCTGAGTGCTCTCTAGCGTTGCCCCTGCACTGACAGGGTTCTTTTCCCTGGTGTGTTTGTGGGGTTGCTTCCTTAGAGCGCCTTCCTGTTTTGACCTGGGTTGGGAGCAGGCATTGGCTGGTGGAGTGCACTGGTGGCTTGCAAGCTTCTATGTATGGTTCGCTGAGGTCACCCTTCACAGCCATGTAACCTAGGCTGTGTTGGCTCACTTTTAGGTCTGGTGTAGTATCTCAGTACTAGGTTTACCTTTCAGGCCCTGGAAATCCCCTGTGGATCCGTCGGGCTTTAGGGTATTCCTCCAAACCAATTCTTGCCTCGTGCAAATTTGAGGGTTGCTCGTCATCTGTGCCATGGGATAACGATCATTCATTCTGCCTCCCTCATGCCATCTGTTGGGTCAGAGACACCTGTGACCCTGAGTCCTGTGAGTGTTGTGCTTCCCATTTGGCTCTTTTAATCTGACCCTCCTAATGAAGTTAGTGCATGTCTGGTGGCTACTGCTTTGCGGGTTCATTTTGCTGCGTGCAGTGATCTAAGTTTGTGTGCTCGGTTGGATGCCTCGGAGTTGGCTTGTCTTGTGTTTAGGGACTCGGAACTGGAGGTGTTGGTGAACCCTACCTTAGCTCCATCTGCACCACCACTTCCTTACCCTTCTGGCTTAGTTCATCCTGCCTTTCTTCTTTCCCTCCTGCTTCCGGCCTCGAAGCGTCTGAGGGTTTCCGGGTTGGGGCAGGGGTTTAGCTTGGAATGTGGCTCAGCCACGTCTGGAAATGGTTCCTTCCAATTCAGGCACAGAGGCAGTTGAGCCTGGTGATTTTGCCGAGGATTTGAGGTTTATTTCCAGCCAGCCCCTTCTTCTGTAACCTCTCCCCTGGACTCCACTTTTCTACCCCAGGCAGTGGACGAGGACACATGCTCTGACCCAGGACCTTCCTGGTTGGTTCCCAGGGCATGGGGGGGAAGTCAAGTAGAGGCTCTTCGATTCCCGTAGACCTCATGTGGGTCTTCGTCACTTCAGATGATGGAATTTTGCTCCAAGGAGAGGGTTTTTTTGTACCTATTGGAACTGACCTGAATGTTTCCTTTCTCATGAGTCCCTCCATCGGTAACTCTTCAGGATCAGTTTTAAGTATCTCCTGCATTTCCTGATGGATCCTTTTTGAGTCGATTCTGTTTCCTTGGTTCCTCGTTCCAAGGCTCATGTTTCTCAGGTTGTCCGCAGTGGCATCGTCTAGCCAACCTGTGGTCTATCCTCATGCCCATGCTGTTTGTAAATATTTCATTCTTGCAACTGATTTAGCCAATATGCCCTGGGTTGATATTCAGGCATGAGAGGGTTCTGGCATTTGAACAAGGTACTAGTAGCCTGGTACCTTGGTTAATGCTCCTGGGCCTCGTCACGCTTGTATTTCTCTGGACCGGTGTCCAGAGAAATACAAGCGTGACGAGACACCACGCTTGTCTCGTCGATGAGACAAGATGATGAGATGAGATGATGAAAAGATGAGACACCAGGTCTCTTGGCCTGGTGTCTCATCTTTTTGCTGACTGCCTGCAGTTCCTCCTTTTTCCCCTTGTGAGTCCCTTTGTTTTCTTCTCTGTGAGTAGTTAGCTTCAGGGAGCAACAAGGGGGCTCCCCCTTCCCCCAGAAAATCAGCATTGAATGTAATAAAATGCCAATTTATGGGTGAGCCCCGGTGACTCCCTGGTTTCCCCCCATCCCTTCCTTTCCAGGTCGTCAGTTGGGGTTGCTCTGAATTCATTTGTTTAGAAACTGAGGCTTGAGCCAGAGGATAGCATAAGCTCTAGCTCCCCTCCCCTCCCTCCCCCAAACAAGTGGAAGGGACGAGGCAAATGAGTGCATGCTTGTTTTGAGAAATTTTCAATTGTTTGCTTACTTGGTTGGGGGAATTTGTTCGATGGGTTGTGAGGCTTTGGTCTCTTTGAACCCAGCAGTGGTCTGTATTGGTTTGCTGCCTTTCTGGGTGCCTTCCCTAGTGAGGTGACAGTGTCTCTTGCTTCCTGCACCTCATTGAGAGGGTCAGGAAACCAGGGGCCAGGGGCCAGATTCACGAAGCAGTTACGCAAGTACTTACGAACCTATACATCTTTCCTCAACCTTGGACGGCTTTGGTTACGATTATTAAACAGTTTACAAGCATGGAAACTTCTCACTCAATTGTCGTTATTGTTATAAACAGCCTCCTGGTGCTTCGGAGCTCATTAACTGTTTAATAATTGTAAACAAAGCCGCCAAAGTTTGAGAAAAGATGTACAGGTTCGTAAGTGCTTGCGTAACTGCTTCGTGAATTTGGCCCCAGGGCTCTGGTCCCTGGAAGACCCATCTCATCTCCACACCTGATATGATCTAGTAGTTGGGGTCATCTCAGTGAGATAGCTTCAGGGAGCTACTGGGGCTCACTCAAAAATTGGCCTTTCATTACATTCAATGCTGGTTTTTTCCTGAAATTTAGTTTTTCATTAAATGTAAATTTTTTTACTGTTTTTAGTGTAGCTTCTTTTTAATTCATGTTTGATCTGCTGTATTTACTGAAAGTATCTAATATTAAAGATAGCTCCAGGCTGTCCAGTTTTTAAACAACCTTTATAGTAAATTTTTGAGGTATAACAAGTAACATATATTTATTTGTGGTTAGGTGGATGGGTGCACAGTGTGAGTTTTTCTGGTGATGGTAACCGTGTTTGTTGGGTTGGCCATGATTCTAGCCTCACTGTGGCTGATGCTGGCAAGGAAATGGCTAAATCCCAGCTGAAAACTGAGTATTTACCCTTTACTTCTGTGACATGGGTCTCGCTCAACTCTCTGGTTGCTGTGGTAAGTACTGTCAACACTCGACCAGATACAGTAGAATCATTGTAATCTTACTCATGTCTATTACATTGACTCATAATTGATGTCAACTTATTAATCAGCTTTGGTTTTAATATTTTTTGATTTTTAAATGATTTGCTGTCTTTTTTTTGTAGAATTTTTTTTGTTAAATAAGGCCTATGGTTATTTTGCTGGTAAGTTACTCATTGTCATTACAAAGTAAAGATTCTTCTAATAAAAGAAATGAGAGAAATTTTTATTCAGTTCAAAATTCTGTACCTCAAACACCTGCATTTTTGCAATGCACATTACATGAATTTTTCAGGGTCATGGATGTTGTCCTATGCTGTACTCCGTGGATGACACCGGGAAGCTGACGTTTGTCACCAAGCTTGACGTGGCCCAAAGAAAGGAAACTGGCAGTCTGAGGTATGCCGACACTGCTTTTTTGTCATACTGTATATTATTTTGTTTAATTTTCTTGGACTTACCTTTATTTTGCTTATGCAGTAATATGGCATCCCATTATCAGGGACAGGAAGCCTTTTTTTTGGCTTATCAAGGTCCCTCTTGACCAACAGCAGTCCCAGGACAGAAGCCAAAATAGTTGCCAAATTTCCAGGTATCTATTTACTGCAGGGTGAACAGAGGCATGAGATGAAAAAAACTTTGCGCACATGTTACTTCTTGCCCAGTAATAGAACCTGGGAGCGTTCAGTTGTAAATCAAGTATGCTGAGCAGAGTGCTGCACCTCACCATCCAGCAGAGTTTCTTGCCTCAATCTTTCATGGCACACTACTCTCATGTTTACCTTCCTGTGTTTCCATCTTCCCTTTGGTGTCCTTTCAGGTCTCTTCATCACCCTACTCAATACCACTCTCATATTTACTATCCTGTGTTTCCATCTTCCTTTTGGTGTCCTTTCAGGTCTCTTCATCACCTCACTCAACACCACTCCTAATTATCATGATGACATGTCCTCTCTTTATGGACATATCATTAGGCAATGTCAGCCTTCATTAGATTCCCCTGGTAGAGATACAATCTATCGTAGATTTGAAATATCATTTCCTGTTAGTTACCCTGAATATGTCATTGGGAATTGCTTGAGACCTTAAAGTATTAAGAATGATGGTTAAAGAAAGGTGCCTGTTTGCCAGATTTCAATTCAGTGTTTCTTTTTAAGTTGCTCCATGTTGTTCATGTTTCTAAGGAGTTTTATTAACACTATCGCCAGCGCCACCCGCGCACCGCAGACATTGACGTCATGGGGCCAATGGTGCGGGCGAGTGTGCGGCAACGCCTTAATGTGTATACTCGTTTCAGTTTTCTCACCTTAATTCTTGTGCTACATCGTTTGTTTTGGTATCATTGTGTTCGCAATTAAATTCCCTGCAGATGTATATGCATATAATGTCCAAAAGCCTGGCAAGACTCCCCGCAGCAAAGCCTAAAGTTACCCGTGAACGAGCACCAATTTGCACACCACAACCTAATGTGTATACTCGTTCAGTTTGATAACATCAATTTTCATGTTACATCGCTCATTTTGGTATCAAATTGTTCGCAAAATAAAGGCGCGCATTTTAAAACTAGTCCCATAATAATAGAGCATTAACTGGAATTTTAACATATTTTAATTTTGGACGCTCATCATCAAAATTATTTATATATTTCCAGTGTTCTGACATAAATTTTCATGTTACATCGTTCATTTTGGTATCAAATTATTCACAATATAAAGGAGTGCATTTTAAAACTAGTCCCATAATAATAGCACAATAAATAGAATTTTAACAAATATTTTAAAATTTACAATTTAGACCCAAAAACATATTTATAATCTTTCAAGTGTTCTGACATCAAGGTTCGTGTTACATCTTTCATTTTGGTATCAAATTGTGCACATTTTAAAGGCGCTTATTTTGAAATTATCCCGAGGTCAATCGGATAAAAAATGAATTTTATACAAATATTTTTGTAGTGGACGCGAGTCCTGTCCACGGCTAGGACTCGAGAGAAAAAAAATGGATGTGATCGATGTCCAAAGCGACCGATAGTGTTAAACATCTGGACACTGCTTGATTATATTGATATATATTTGCTTAAGTTTGAGTAAAGAAGTTTTGCTGTCTGTTGAAACTGAATCGTTTGACCCCCGTGGCAGCTACAGTATTTGTATATTGTATTTCAGTAGTTACTTGTTTATTTCTTGATTGTGAGAAAAGTTTGTATTTCTCATTGTATTGACTTGAAACATGCACACTTATGTTGGACTGTACAACTGAGCAGGGCTCTGACTGGTAGGGGCAGTCTCTTGAAGTAGTTACAAATGTCCAATATCTGACAGGGAGACAGGACTGGAGTAATGTATAACATTAATACAAAATAAATGTGGGGCAATTTAACTTTGGTATACCATTTTTAGTGTATTATGCCATAGGTGTTTGCAATGTGCGTGACAACAGTAGGTAAAATGGGTAAGAATCCGTTGAGTTCTTGACCAAGTGAGGCTGCCACCCCATCTGACCACTCTGCAGCACCACCAGATAGCAACACTGGCCACCATAATAGTCTGAGTTATAGGCAAGCTGCAGTTGTAGTCTAAGCTACTAAAAGCATGCTCAGGGAATCCTTGACTAAAAGGGAACAACTGAAGTACCTGCATAGGACAGAGTATTTAATTTTATTTGATGCCCTATTTCTAAGCCAGGCTCTCTCGGTTGCTTTCTCAACCACTTCCGTTTGTTAGGCTCATGAACAGACTCAGGCTTACGTATCTCAGTGTATTTGGTTTGATTTATCTGCCTGGGTCTAATAAGCGGGAGAGTGTGTGCATGGGTATTTAATAGTATGGTTTATGCTTTTTATATAAATAATTTATTTTTCTGGTGGGAGCCCATTGTGGCTCCCTGAAGTTACCATCTCCAATGTAGGTGCCAACTACTTGGTGCCATCAGTCATGGAGTTCTCTGGTCACCTGACAGAAGCGAAGGGAGCTGTGTCATTTATATACAGTATTACCGTAAATTATTTATACCACCACCGAGAAAGTTAGCGAGTCAAAACAAACTAAATCTGGCTACCTCCCAGACTTGGAGGCTCAAATCTGGCCATAGAACTTCCCAAACAATGTAAGCAAATTATAAAAAACGTTATAAGATAGCACTCACTCATTCACACCACCTTCCCCCAAATGAGGGGGGGGGGGGGGGAAGAGGTAGCATGGCCATGACTCACAGGCACTATACCTTCAGTGATCCTCTGATGTGTGCCGTGCCTAACACAGTTGCTGTAGCCCCAGTGTCTTCCTTGGGTTTTCTTTTGCCTTGGTGGTTGTTCCTTGCATTTTTGTGCATGTGAGCCAAGAGTTTAGTGCACTTGGAGCTGCATGTATTCATGGTTACCTTCCTGGGACATTCCGTAGTGCTTCCCTTACGTTGCCAGGGTATTTTTCCCTAGAGAGTTCAGGTGGCATTCCTTTAGGGGTCCACTTCACTTACGGTAGCCTTCACGTTGGAGTGAGCCTTGGGTTTTTCGCTTCCGTCTTTTTCTCGATTGGAGTGCCTTGGCTGGTGAGGTACACTGGTTACACGCATGCTGCACTTCAGCACACCAAGGTAGGGTTTTTCCAGCTGTCTTAGCCAGACTGGGTTAATTTACCTGGAACTTTAAAGAGTACTGGTGTTGCATCCTAGTACCTGGTTATCTTGCTTGGATTGTACCCTTTAGGTCCTGGTAATTCCCAGCGAGTTAGGGGGGGGCCTCTGGGGTGCCCTCGACCCTGTCCTCGCTTCTGGCGAGAGGAGGGTTGTGCTTTGTCTGAGCCACAAGGCAACATTCATTCTGCCTGCCTCTGTCTTGCTGCTTGTTCAAATCAAATGTTTATTCAGGTAAAGTACATACATACAAGGTGAGATACAAACATTGATGGATTTATAGATAGAGCTAGTACATACAATGCCTAAAGCCACTATTACGCAAAGCGTTTCGAGCAGTTTCGTTTTGTTGAGTCGGTGACACCTTTGCTCTGTCCAGTGGGATGTGGTTTCCATCAGGTTACTCTCCTTATTGGCCTTCATGTTGATGCTTGAGCCTATCAGGCAGTGACTGCTCTTCGTTTTAGGTTCTTTGTTACAGCAGTCTAGGTTATATGCCCATTTGGAAGCCCTAGAGCTGCCCCGGGTAGTTTTTTGTGTCCTGGTCTTGAAGGTGTTGGTCTCCTTGACCTTGGCTCTGACCGCACCACCTCTTTCCTTCTTTTGGCATGGTTCGCTCTCCTTCCTGTCCTCCAACATCGCTTCTGGTCCCGAGACAACCTTGAACAACCTTCAAGGTTGTTCAAACCCCACCCCAAACCTGAAACAACCTTCTGGTTGTTTCAGGTTTGGAATGGGGTTTTGCTTGGGTGGCTTTAGGGGTTGCCCCTTCAGATTTGGGTGGGAAGGCAGTTGAGCCTCTTGGTCCTGCCGAGGCTTCTGGGCATTTTTTTTCAGTTGGCCTCGTCCTTCGAGGCCTCTTCCCTTGACTCTGCTGGTCTTTCTGGGCAGTGCGTGTGGACGATGGCTCTGCCCCAGGGCCCTCCATTGCAATTTCCAAGCTTGGGGAGTGTCGGAGTTGGGGCCATGGTCCCCTTTGACACTGTGGTTCCTAACATCTTTGGTACACAGAGTAAAGTTTTCTTACCCCCTTACCTGTATGAGTTGGCTTGCGTGCAGCTTTTTCCTCAGTTCACCTGTGTTTGCTTTTGGGCTTTGGGTATGCCAGGTCGTCCTTCTGGAGGTTTCCTTGCACACGGGTTCTCCTTTCAGAGGTCATGGGGCATTTTTGAGTCTTGCATGGCCCAGTTAGACCCAACCTTTGTTTTCAGATCCTCTTACCCTGTTGGGTGTGTTGCAAGGTTCCGGAGTCTTCCTGGCTAACAGACCTTCCTTTATTTTCTCCTGTTCCTTGGCGCTGTTTTGCTGGTCCCGCTCGCTTGAGTGGCATGGCTATTCAAATCACTTGTGCTGTCCTGTCGAGTCTATAGAGTCTACATATAGTCTATATATGTATTCCCTAATAGAAGGAATACTGTACAGAGAACATTTACTGCAAACATTGACGAGATAAAGCACATAAATTATTGGGATTGTCTCAGAGCTCTGCAAATATACTCACTAGAAAGGAGATGAGAGAGATATCAAATAATATAGACATGGAAAATACTGGAGGGCCAGGTCCCAAATCTACACAGTAAAATAACAACATACTGGAGTGAACGATATGGAAGAAAATGCAGAATAGAGCCAGTGAAGAGCAGAGGTGCCATAGGCACAAACAGAGAACACTGTATAAATATCAGAGGTCTGCGGCTGTTCAACATCCTCCCAGCGAGTATAAGAAATATTGCCGGAACAACCGTGGACATCTTCAAGAGGAAACTAGA